AGCAACAAGCTCAGAATCCAACCTCTTGATCTCCTTGGCTGAGGAATAAGCTTCAGTTGCCATAATCTTCGCCACCTTCTTGACAGCCTTACTATATATGCATCATAGCAAACAGAGCAGTCCTTCCATATTTGGTCGTATGCTTCGCAAAGGAACTTGGGCAAACAACCTTTCTACCGCTATTAACAAAGTTGGCACAAGTGTCCATGACTTCAAGCAAATCTAGTTTTAAAAGCACATAGATCTCAGCAGCCTCCCTAGAAGCAGGCTTAGTGGATTTCTCACAGCTGCCCACGCAAGCAGTATCTTCCTTCTTAGTAGGCGAATCAGTCTCAGCAACAAAGGGAGTGAGCCATGGTGCCACTTTAGCAGCAGAGTCCACCTTACCACTCTTCATAATAGCAAATCTCTCTAAAGGTGAACCAGACTTGGCTCCTAACGAACGTCTTAGTACAGACTTCGGCATTAGGGGCATGATAAAACCTTTACGCTGAGCAATCTTATCAACAATTGTACTAGCCATTCTCAACATGGAAGGCGCCACATGCTCAAATTTAGCACCCTCATTTTTCTTCCCATTAGAAGAAGTCATGCCAATCACATGCCTCTCGACAGCAGACAGATCATCATGAGTAGCGGAGGAAGTCTTCAATTTTTTCTCAACCGATATCTCTTAAGTAGGCGAGGAATATCTCTTATTTCCACCTTTATTCATAGTAAGCTCCACGACAACGATCAGATGAGTCAATGCATCCGCCTTGATCATCTTTACCTCATATTTAGAAGCAATCTACCTTACTTCCGGTGAAGAGAACTAAGCAGCCAACGCCATTCACGGTACTCAGCATAAGAGATCAACCCAGCATTCTAGCAGGCAGGAGGCCTGCATTCCCAGCATTCCAGCAACCCATGAGGCCCACAACCTCCTCATTTCTTTCAGTCGACATCTTGACCCGAGTAAGGTCCAAGAGCCCAAAGGACATAAGTCATGTGGCTCACCTAGCATTGCGCCCTAGCGCCACAATCCGCGGCCCCCACCGCACAAGTTGCCTTTGGCTTTAGCCAAGCCAAATAGCCCAAGCAGTGGCATCTGCCACGACGCCTCTTCAGCCCATGCCAAGCCGACTCCTGGCCCCTGCTAGCCGACGTGCCGCACCACCCCGACGGCTGCCTCGCAACAACATTATCCAAGAAGAAGACAAGAAAAAATTAAATTTTTCTTACATCGGTGCGGCACGGAGAAGACGAAGAAATCAATGAAAGACGGTCATTTGCACGGGCAAGATATAGAAGATTGCTAGAGGGTGGGGAACAAATATCGTCTAAGCTCTCTCTCTTGTAGGGTAGAATAAATAGCTCTCCAAAGTTGATTTAATAACTCACTTAAGGTGGATTTACATAAGTTTTGAGAAAAATTTATTTCCCTTTCCTAGAAGAACCTAATTTCCTATTAAAGAGAGAATCTACATCAAAATAGGAAGCAGTCCTACGTTTCCTAAAGCAAGATGATCTCTACACCTGCTGCCCTTTCCTACGAGCAGCCCAACAGGTGTGGGGGCACTTGTGGATCCAAAAATAATCACAAGGCGACACGTGGATTTTTAGGTAAAAGAGGACAAAAATAACCTTGAGGCATACCGGGATTCCTACACGCGAGCAGCAGACAATCATCCTTTAATAAAGTCAAAAGTGTCCAAAATAAGTAACCAATTCAAAGATATTCTCATTCATCCTCATCTTGGGTAATTATTTTACCTACAAAACATTACATTTAAGTGGAGGTTAATTGGCTAATTAATGGATTAATTCCTAATTAATCCATTAATCACCAATTAAATCACCCACAAAATATACCCAAAAATCCCAAAGGGCTGGCCACCCTTGTTGATCTCATCATATTTACCTATTTTATCACATTAATTAGCTAGTTAATTTTTCAATAATTTTATTTGCTAAATTAATTAGTCAATTATTCTCATAACTCCTAAATTCAACCTAAATCAAGAACCCTATCCCTATAAATAGCTCTCATTCTCACCAAAAACCTAGGTCCCCACTCTTGCTAAAATTCTCCAAAGCTCTCAAACACTTTTCTCTCAAAATTCTAACTTTGTCATGAAGGTTCTTCTGCCAAAGCCCCCCCATTCATCGTGGGCGCGTGACGCTCTTGGCCTTGACCTAAGGTGTTATTTGTTTTGTAGGTGCAATTTTTTCCAAGATCAAGGAAGAAAAAATTTGCATCCACAACCCTAATAAAAAACTAGTCAATCATGGCAGTCCTCTATATTATGATCCTACTAATTACATGAGTATTGTTGGAGCTTTGCAATACTTAACCTTCACAATATCTGATATTGCATACTCAGTTAATCAGGTTTGCTAGTTCATGCACACTCCATTAGTATCTCATTTTGTTGCTGCCAAACGGATCCTGAGATATATCAGAGGAACTATGGATTGTGGGGTTTTTTTTAGGCTTGGAAGTTTAGATCTTAAGGCATACACAAATGCGGATTGGGCTGGTGATCCCAATGATAGAAGGTCTACAACTAGTTTTGTGGTGTTTCTTGGTTCCAATCACATTTCTTGAAGTTCTAAGAAGGAATATACAGTTAGTCATTCTTCAACTGAAGCAGAATATAGAGCCATGACCACTACTGCTGCTGAGATTGTTTGGATACAACAGTTGCTTAAAGACTTGCATATGCCGAGTTATGTTCCTCTTCTATTACATTGTGACAATATCTTAGCTATGGCATTGGCAACTAATCCAGTTCTTCACTCCAAAGCTAAGCATGTTGAAGTGGATTGTCACTTTGTTAGAGAACGTGTCCAACAAAGTGTTATTTCACTTCAGTTTGTATCCTTTGCTGATCAGTATGCAAATATCCTTACCAAAGGGTTATGTTCTCATTCTTCAGTCATTTGAGTTATGTAGAGGATGCCACTTGTATTGTTATTAGTGGTTGTTGAGATTTGTCTCAAGGTTGTTATGAGTTGTATGAGTATAAATAGTGAGAATGCTTTGTAATAGTTAACTTAACAGAAATAGAAAGATTCAATTGCAAGATTCTCTTTCTCTCTCTAAACCTTTTCGATATATCTCTCTATTTCCATAGCTTATTTTCTTTATTTCTAGCAATGTTGACACTCTGGTGTGCAGGTAAGAGAGAGAAAGAGAGAGACAATGTGGGGTGACATGGTAATATTAGGGAGACTAAATTAGTTGATAAAATTTTATAAACTAAATAACATGGAAGTTAATGATTAGATTATTACTTAAGCATTGATAAATGTGCTTATTCTTATTGGTAACACATCATTTATTTTAAAAAATTAATCTACAAATTTAAATTTCCTAGCATTACCTGTGGAAATACATGACTCGTTGATTGCAAAGGGAAAAAATGAAGGGAGATGGCGTGGGGAAAAGGGTCAAGAAAACTTGACCAGTAAATATGTGGCACATTCAGAACCTTTAGATGATATCATCCTTATTGAAGATCATGATGCTAGTGAATAGTATGTGGTCCAACAATTGACAGAGGAATTTGATATGAAAGATTTATGCCTTCTTCATTATTTCCTTGGCTTGCAAATTGAATATTCACTCTCAATGGTTATTTGTTCATCAATCCAAGTATATACAGGACTTGCTGGAGAAGATAGATATGGTTTAGTGCAAGCCTTGTATTACTCCATGTCATCCTAATAAAAAACTACTCAATCATGGCAGCCTTCTATATTCTGATCATACTAATTACAGGAGTATTGTTGGAGCTTTGCAATACTTAACATTCACAATACCTGACATTGCATACTCAGTTAATCAGGTTTGCCAGTTCATGCACACTCCATTAGAATCTCATTTTGTTGCTGTAAAATGGATCTTGAGATATATCAGAGGAACTATGGATTGTGGGTTTTTTTTAGGCTTGGAAGTTAGATCTTAAGGCATACATAATTGCGGATTGGGCTGGTGATCCCAATGATAGAAGGTCTACAACTAGTTTTGTGGTGTTTCTTGGTTCCAATCACATCTCTTGAAGTTCTAAGAAGGAATATACAGTTAGTCGTTCTTCAACTGAAGCAGAATATAGAGCCATGACCACTACTACTGCTGAGATTGTTTGGACACAATAGTTCCTTAAAGACTTGCATATGCCGAGTTATGTTCCTCTTCTATTACATTGTGACAATCTCTTAGCTATGACATTGGCAACTAATCCAGTTCTTCACTCCAAAGCTAAGCATGTTGAAGTGGATTGTCACTTTGTTAGAGAACGTGTCCAACAAGATGTTATTTCACTTCAGTTTGTATCCTCTGTTGATCAGTATGCAGATATCCTTACCAAAGGATTATGTTCTCCTTCTTTCAACCATTTGAGTTATGTAGAGGATGCCACTTGTATTGTTATTAGTGGCCGCTGAGGTTTGTCTCAAGGTTGTTATGAGTTGTATGAGTATAAATAGTGAGAATGCCTGTAATAGTTAACTTAACAGAAATAGAAAGATTCAGTTGCAAGATTCTCTTTTTCTCTCTAAACCTCTTCGACATCTCTCTCTCTATTTCCATAGCTTAATTTCTTCATTTCTAGCAATGTAGACACTTTGGTGTGCAGGTAAGAGAGAGAGAGAGAGACGATGTGGGGGTCAAAGGGTAATACTAGGGAGACTAAATTAGTAAACAAAATTTATAAACTAAATAACATAGAAGTTAATGATTAGATTATTATTTAGACGTTAATAAATGTGTTCATTCTTATTTGTAACACATCATTTATTTTATAAATTATATATATATATAAATTTAAGTTTCCTAACATTTCCCAATGTAGAAATACATGACTCGTGGGTTGCAAAGGGAAAAATGAAGGGAGAGGGCATGGGGAAAAGGCTCAGAAAACTGGATCATTAAATACGTGGCACATTCAAAACCTTTAGATTATTTTGAACGGTTTGGATTTAAAAGTTACGTATATATTTGCAGGTTAAAAAACATTTGCAAAGAGGACTCCCTTATCTTTTCAATACCGCCCCTTTGTTTCGTCAATCGTCGGCAAAACGGCGTCTGACCGACCTTGGCCTCAGAAACTCTCTGCTCCTCTACCGGTTAACTACCCACTCCCACCGTCCTCCGCCACAGTCAAGCTTCCGGCCTCCGATCGCCTCCAAGAGAGTATCAGATGCAGAAATTGGGAGATTTCAAGCTTCCCCAGTTCTTCAATTACCCTCCGTACTTCACACTCCAACCCGTCAGAGACACCCGAGAGAAGCAGATACAGCTATGGAAAGACCTCATACTCGACTACTGCAAAACCCACCACATATTCGTCATCGGATTGGAAGACCAAGAATTTCCGCTCTTCTCTAACCCCGCGATCGAGCGATCTCTCACCTACGAAGCCCGGGAAGCCTTCCTCTCGGCGTTGGTGGCGCAGGGCCGGGCGGAGTGGCTGGATAAGAGCCGCCGAAAGTGCCTTGTGCTATGGCATCGGATTCAGGACTGGGCTAATATTGTCCTGGACTTCGTCAAGGACAATGGATTGGAGGATAGTGTGATGACGGTTGAGGAAATCCGAACTGGGATTGAATCGAGGGGGACGGAGCTTCATGGGATTGATCGGACGGTTCTGATGAGGGCTTTGAAGATGCTGGAGCAGAAAGGGAAGCTTGCAATTTTCAAGGGGACTACCGCAGATGACGAGGGCGTGAAGTTTTCGATTTGATTTTGGTACCCTTGGACTCTTAATCCAGGTTTAGGAAAAACCCCTTTTGTATTATGCTATGTTTGTTTTGATTAGATGAATTGGTACTTGTGTTCAACAGATGCTTCAGGCCTAATCGCTATGAGAATATGATTTTGGGGAATCTTCTTTTGTCTCTTTAATCTTTGCTGCAATCTACACAGGCATGCTTTTATTCATAGGTACAATAATGGTTATTTGCTTTCTTCGCTGTGGATTATGGTTTTCTATCGGTTTTTGGACTACGGATGCATCAAAGCATTTATAAGGTGCACTGTGATTGTTTACATGGTGTTTTGTTTTATAGTGTGTCATCTACACTCTTAACAAAGAGTATGCTCTATGAATTCTAATTATGTTAACCTTTGACTGTAGTCGCTGAGCTTTTATTCTTTCGGGTTGATTTGTGTGCGGAAAGAATCAAATAGGTGGCCTGTAGAGATCTAGATTGTCAAGCATTGTCAAATGAACAAATGGATTGTGAGATTTTATCCATGTCCAGTTTCCTCCAACTGATTCAAAGAAGAATGGAGATAAAATTAAAGGACGCATGGAAAGCAGACGAGAAAAAGCTGACCCTCTTTAACTCAGACCTTTTTCCTTAAAGTCATAAGCCTTTTTCTTCCAGAAAAATGAAACTGGATGACAGAGTAGGTGATCATCTTAGCTCTAACGTATAAACATGCATCTTTTCAGGATTTCAACTCTTCCATGTAAAAAGGCACCGTAATCTGCTCCATTTCATCTCGGTTGTCATGATTGGCATTCATATTATGTGGCACTTAATCCCTTTGTTACTAAAGTTTGAGGCCTTGTTCGTGCAAAATCATGTTCTTGAGCAGAGTAATGCTTATATTGGCTACAATCAGTCGTATTTTTATGTGTTTCCTGGTGCTTGTATCTTCTCAACGGCTTGAGATGTCTTTGGGATTCTGCTTTTTGCTGCAATTGTTTACCTGCAGGCTGCAGCAGCGGTTTGGAGGGTGTTGTTTTCTTCCCTGTAGATTTAGTGGATCAATATGAGAAGGTGCCTGTGTCTAATAACTTGTAATTTTCCATAAAAAAAAAATAGAACGGAGATGTGTGTTGTTTCTGCTCTTATGAGAAAATCTGCATGCTCGTGTGTGTTGTTTCTGCTCTCATGTCTCTGATCTCTAGCAAACACGCGTGCATGTTTGTGGGATACCAGTTTTACTATGTGAAAAGACACCGTAACTTATCCCTTTTATTTCAGTTCTCATGCTTGCATTTCTTACCTTGAAGTACATGCTCCCACTTGTGCTTAACTTGCCTTGTTCTTGCAAAACTGAGAAAGCCAAGATGTCTCGTGTAAGAGTTGGCGGATGGCTTGAGGTGAATGAGAGGACCGTACGTGTTGTCACGTTGTTGGCTTTCATATTCCTTCAACGTCTTCTCCAGCTTAAATGGTCCATGCAACTGCATGATTCCAAACTAATGGTTCATGGGATGCTGAGAAAATGGTATTCCTTGTTTGTGTACCATTACACATCACCGGCGGCTTCATTGATTTGTTTGTGAACTTCAAGCAGAACAAATTGCACATTGTAAGTCATTTTCTTTTGGGTCATTTAAGTTCCTATGCCGGTCTAGTGTTCGATGCCTTTCTTTTCCCGCAAATCATCCTCAACATTTTGCTGAACTCAAAGGATAGTCCTCCTTGTTCATTTTACCTTGGAATTACTATTCTGGTGTACTTCCCCATCCTCCATTGATCCTATCCTCCATTGATCGTCCAAGTTTGTGATTGATCGTCATACAGGTCATTTATCCCCTTCCCGGCTACTGGATCAGTCCAGCACTTTTGGCACTACGGACCCTCTGCCATCCATTGCAGCAGAGCCGTTTCATGAGCGGGGGGGGGGGGGGGCTAAGCGCACTTCTTTGAATCAAACGTTGAATGAAATCGATTCTTTTTTAGATATAAAAATCTGGATGGATCTATCTTTTTATTCATATATATATTACTTTAAAAAATGATTTTTTTCATATGCGTAGCAAGAAGCCCCAAATCCTTGATTTGGCCAGGAAAGACTGCACTGCTTTGGGCCCAGGAAGCAAAGGGCATGAGCTCGGCTGCTTCTCCTCCACACTTATTTTTCTCCGTGCCCATTCCGCATTAGCTTCGCGTGCCATTGGCGCTTTTCTCTCCTCTTTATTCTTCATTGGACGGTTCGGATGGACTTCGCCGTTCTTTACCAACTAAAATAGAAAAAGGCTGTATCACATCGAGATGTCTATTCGTTTTCCGCCCCTAATGAGATGGAGAATTTGTAACCCCCTATTTATACTGTACTTTTTGGCCCTTTGCAGCAGCAGTTCCGTGGACGCTGCATCCTTCGAAGTAGATTCAGGGGACATGAAAGTTATGAGAAAGTAAGTTCCAGTGTTGTTTGTGCTTCTGTTAGTATATAAACATAAACAGACTATTTACTTTGCATTCAGTATTGATTTAAAGAGTTTCTTATTAGTACTTGTCATTCTTTAGGCTTGTGTTTCACTTGGACTTGGGTCATATTTCCATCATCTGGTACACTGTGACAATGAAAAAATCAATTAGATGGATGGGAGTTTTTTTTTTTTTATTTGTGATTTGCTGATTTTTTTTTTTTTATCCGAGTGATAATCTAGCTAATTAATCTGTATTCAAAATTTCAAAGTTGAGTGTTGAGGGGTGCACACACTATTCTGGCCAATTTGGTCACCCTCATGTCTACAAAACTGGGTAGTTTACAAATTAGCGAAACTGGTCATGTTACTTTCCTGCTTAGTTGTGGAACTTAGTCTAAGAATGGGGGAATTCGTATCAAGTCACATAATTGGGCATCAAACTCGTCATCCACATGAATTGAACCTAACTTACAAGTATAGATTGTAGTAAGGGGTGAGGGGATAAAGTGTAATTGAAATCGTCATCCACGCACTTCAAACCTAAAACTTTCTACCCAGAAGTGTAAAGGAATATTAACTAACATGTAGTAATAAGTGGCATATATCTTTTATTGTTAGGTTTTGCTGATAAATGAATTTGGAGCCTACATGGGAATTTTTTATCGTTTGTTTGCTACTTGGTTACTAGGTTAATTTCATTCCAATGAAAAATAAATAAATAAAATGATGAACACGATTTTTTAGCCTCTAACACAGTTATATTTAATCAGGTCAGTTGTTTTCTTTTGATTTATTTAATCCAATGGACAAAATAGAGTTGTATGAAAGTTAAAATTATGTGTGAAGATGAACTCTCTAAAAACAACGGCAAAAGCGTGATAGAATAACTGAATTGAAACCAACATTTTGTTTTTGGCTTAAATATAAAAGACAATTGACATGATATAAATCATCCATTCACTTGTGAGAACAATCTACATATATCAGGACATTATTGTCTCGAACCTATGTCACATTTTAGAAAGTATAACTCGTACACTTTTTTTCTTCTTGTTGAAAGCCGCGGGATATTGGAAGAAATTAAGCATATTATAGTTGTTGAATTCAGCCTCGTGGTTTCAAAACTTAGTTGATTGTTGGGTCAAATTTTGGCTTGGATAGCGAGGTAGAGTCCACAAGTGTGTAGACACAAACCGTGGACAAAAGATAGTAAAAATGATGGAGCTACGAACATTAAAAGTTAGATGGATTTGTTATGTTTCATCTCTTAATGCTAACATAGAGCTCTCAAATTCTTCTACCCAACAAAATTCAACTCATTCAAAGTCTAGTGATTGGTTCTTGGTTCACAATGACTCGCTTAATAAATAAGAAAGGCCCAGCCCATTCAATTTGTATAAATTATTAAGCCCAATCTACATTTAGAATCACACTAATTACAGTATAATAGTTTGACTTGATTTTAGTATTAAGAAAAATTCTTAACAAAATCAAACAAATGTCAAAAGATTTGATTTGAAAAGTTCAAGTGTAAATCCTTTTTTTTTGGGTCAAATTACAGTTTACAATAACAAAACTCGATTATTACTACCTTATTTTCTTCTAGTATATCAAATCACTTTATACTTTGTCATTTAGTAGTACGGTCTTGGGTATTCATCTTCATTTGTAAATGAGAAATCTTAAATTCAGTTATTGTTAAAAACAAATTTAAATCACTTTATTACTAGCCGATTGAAGCTTAGCCCACCCCCCCCCCCCACATCTTTATTGTAGATAATATTATTTGTTAAAAAAAAAATACTCTAAACATCAAAGTTTTGTAACTGTAGTTATAGTTACAACTCAAATATCTTTTATATACATGTAATCTTTTATAGTTACAACTCAAATATCTAACTCTCAAATTCAACATCTTTACCTAGTTATAACTTATAATCCAATAAAAAGATTACATGTATATTAATAAAAATCATTCGAATACAAATATGCAAGTGGTCGGTCCAGGGCGGTTTATAAGGCTGAAAATTGTAACCAAAATAATTAAGTGTTACTAGACCCACGTCATCTTCCTATTTTTCCACTTACCTTATAATTTCACTCATCATATAAAGTTAAAAATACTTAATACTCTTTCTCCACCCACTTTTATTCTTAAAATATCCTAAATACAATTAATATCATCCGACTTTTCACTTGTCAAAACCAAATCAAACTAACCATTACCGCTTGGATCGGGCCGTTTGGTTGTTTTTTTTCTTTATCGGATTGACGTCCTTCTAAACTTTACATCCCATTAACAAGTTTTCTAGCCAATAAGAAAGAAAGGCGCTTGGCTCTTTAAGATTAAGAGTTGTTCCTCCTCAATTTATTTCGAGTTCGATTCATAAAATTGCGTGTTTATAATAATAATTATTTATATTATAAATTATTTTGTAAATATCATTTTTATAAATAAATTAATTAAAACTAAGTTTGTTTCAACAGTAGAAAACAAATAAATGGTTCATAATACTTTTATTAAATTTGTCCATTTTTTTGTAGTTTGATGACTAAATGATATAATATATTACTTATGTTTTGCAAAAATAATCTTTATAGAGTTATATATTATATTAATATTATAAATTCTAAATTCTATAAATCTTATGAAGTGAATTGAAGAGAAACTCCACCTCAATATTGCCAAGTTAATTCTTTCAATGAATGTTTAAAATTAGAAGAACATAAGTTGGCGAATTCAATACTGAATTAGACTGCTCATTGTTTG